GGGAAATGTAATAATAAACCTGTTTAAGGAAGTTGTTTAGACTTATTCTATTGTAGTGTAATGAATTTACAGAACATAACCTGCGAGTGAACGTAGTTAATGTTATTACGTAGAACATAAATAAAATTTACTGGATTTAATTCAATCATTCATCATTAAAAGCCTTTAATAGTTTTGGCCTACGATACCACGTTGGCCAATTGGATTGGTATCGGATTTGTTTCAAATTTGTATTTTCTTTGCAGTGCTCTTGTCCTACGTATTTTGCTTCCTTAGTCGGCTGTTATGACATACACGAGGTGAATACGGGTGACAATCCATATTCTTAATCCATCACCACACGGATGCACTAATAAAATTCTTACCAGAATACACAAGGCAAATTTGTACCTACATAAAAATGGCGACATGATCGCTAAACGCTTTGTCTTACAGGCAACCTTCGGATGCACAATTTGATAAAATTTCATTTAGTTTGCCTTTTACAATCCGTTCTAATTTTAAGATGAGAAATATATTTTTTTGTTATTGCTTTAATCTGTCAGTAGTTATAACCACGGAGTTATAACTGAGCTATCACACGTTTATAATATTGCTTATATCTTTTCATCCTCTTACGCTGTCATTTTTTTTTAAAAAGAATACATAGTTTTTATTTTTAAAAGTATTTCTAAAAGTCACAGTATTTAATTCAACGAACATATACTACCGGAACCGATTGCGGTAGACGGTGCCGTTTTCGAAGTTGTTCAAAATCATGTGGACCTTCGGCAGACATTGCAGTTAGGTAGAAACAACTTCGAGGACGAGGTGAACAGAAGAATTCGGTTGGGTTGGGCAGCGTTTGGGAAGCTACGTCGAGTCTTCTCATCGTAGATCCCACAGTGCCTTAAGACGAAAGTCTTTAATGAGTGCGTCCTACCCGTCATGACATACGGAGCTGAAACGTGGACACTTACGGTACGGCTGGTCCACAAGTTCAAAGTCGCTCAACGTGCTATGGAAAGGGCTATGCTCGGCGTTTCTCTAAGGGATCGCATCAGAAATGAGGTGACCCGGCAGAGAACCAAGGTCACCGACATAGCGTACCGGATCAGCAAGCTGAAGTGGCAGTGGACTGGCCATATTAGCCGCAGAACCCATAACCGTTGGGGAAAACGAGTTCTTGAGTGGAGACCGCGTCTCGGCAAACGTAGTGTAGAACGCCCACAGGCCAGGTGGAGTGACGATTTGGAGGAGCTGGATGCGAGAAGCCCAATATCGATCTAAGTGGTGTGCAATGGGATAGGCCTATGTCCAGCAGTGGACTGCGATAGGCTGATGATGATGATGACAGTATTTAATACGCCTATGATCATGATGAATAGAAACAACGGTATTCTTTAGTTTCATCATCATCAACAGCCTTTAATAGTCCACTGCTGGACATAGGCCTCTCTTAGGAGGTTTTGGTCTACTGTACCACGCTGGCCAGACGGGTTGGTATAGGGTTTGTGTCAAGTTTTTCTTCTTTTTGCAGTGCTGTTATCCTGCGCAGTTTGCTCCCTTAGTCGGCTCTTACGACACCCGCGGGACGAGTAGGGATGGTGACAACGTATTCTTAACCCGTCACCACGCGGATATTCTTTAGTTTAATAAACTTAAATTTAACTTTCCACTATTGTTAATTTTTCTACATAGCAATGGGACCCAAAGGAATTTTCAAATCGGTTGATAAATAAATAAAAACAGAGTTTTGAGGTAACACCTTTATTAATGCGCATAGCAATGGTATCCAAAGAGATTTTCAAATCGGTTGATAAATGAGAACCTTCTCCTTTTTTTAGTCAGTTAAAAATAAGCTTAATTCTTAAATGAAATGGATACAATAAACGCAATAGATTCAATTCGATACCACTACAATCCTAATTAATTCCCGGTATTCTGTACACCTGGCGTAATCCGCAGCTGAACGTCTATAGCTTCTAGAACGTCTATTGCCTGGGAACGTCTACAAACGTCCAAACATAAAACCAAAACTATTGCAGTCCCTGTCGCTTTGTCTCGTTTAATTAGTGTATCCATTTCTGTTCTGACACTTTGGAATATAATACATTTGATTTCCATCACGTGCGCTTTAAGTTGTGTTGAAGATTTTAACTGAAGTTCGTTTGACGTATTGCAATGAGTACATTCTGCATACAAGTGGGCCTGTGATACATTAGCATGCGGTTTTCTTAATGGAAAGTGGTTTTTGGTTTCAAGAAACGCTTGAAATATCAAAGTTTATTTTGAGAAGAAAGAGGGGGTAAATATTCGTTATTATAGTTTACACTGTTGTTCTATTTAACTAAACTAATAGGTAATGGTCGCTAAGTGCGTATTTGTCCTATCTACCATTGGGTGAATTTTACAGGACAAAGTTTTTGTTTTGCTTTATTGAAAAAAAATCCTATGTTTCAAGATTTGAAAGTCTTTCTTAATACATAAGTTACAAATGAATTGATTGTTAGAATTTTCATCTACTGATGGTAAGTAAAAATACCTTATATTACAGATTTTGTATGGACATGGACAAAAATGCACAAATGAAAATACGCATGTGGACTTAGTACAAAGAGACGTTCCATTAGTGCGTGCTTATTTGATCTAAGTGCCTAATATAATTTACAGGTTGTTCATTTCATCTTCACACTGACTAGCATTAATGATAGTGTTGACTTTTAAGAATACTGGTGCTTATTAAATAAATTAAAAAACGTTTACCTCTTTTTTAACTTTTTATTTCTTGATTGTCAAGCTTGCAAAAACCCTTAAATTAAAAAAAACTGGCCGGTGAAGTATCCATATAACATAAAATTTAATTGCTCGTATTATATATTTGGATAAATATTGTTTGAATCGTTTGAATATAATTTGGTCTTTGCTTTATTTTTTTGTTGTATAGGTTATTGTCAGAACACGGTTTGTATGGAAAACAATTTTAAAAAATCGTGCAGGATTTTTTTTTGAACATCACCGTGCGAAGCAAGAAAACAAACAACATCCTGTTGCCAAATCATAACAGACTTGAGGGTAAATTAAAAAGTACTTACTCTTCAATTTGAGCTTGCGTCTGTGAATTTTTACTTTTGTAATGTGTTCCAGACATTATGAGGAACTTGTCTAAAAAATATCTAAGCACAAAACACAATAAATTAAATGATTTTATCAATATTTTAACGTCTCTTGTGATATCGCCAGCTACGGTATCAAATCATACAAAATGGCGGCCAGGGCTTTGTGGGCTGTGATTGGTCTATTGAGTGGACATAGGACACTCAAGCACTCAATATCTCTTACAACGTAGGACATAGAACCAAAATTGGACATTGAATAAATAAGTACAAAATTTTGATTACACGATACTGTCACAAATTAAATTCAAATGGTTTTCATGTTGTTTTGAGTAGGAGAGGCATGAAGTAGGAGAGGGTTGAAATTTCAACAATATGCATTTAAAACTAATTTTCGATAAATTGGTCGATAGGACAAATAAGCACTATGGCGACGTAATATAAAGTCACCTCGAATCGCACTCTCTAGAATACGCTAGTAAGTAAGCTGAGCTGCAAGTTAATACTGTTATGATCTCACACTTAAGTTAAGGAGGCATTAAACCCAGATACCGTTTACGCTGGGCGTTAAAAGTACCTTCACGTGGTGGTTATTTTCACTAAACAGTTAAAACGGAACCTGCATGCGGTAGATTATATTGAGTAAGCAGACTATAATACCACTTTTCCCTCTGTATTTGGTTAAGCAGGTAGAAAGACTTTTCTTTATTATTATTTTAATGACCTATATTCGGTCGTAGTTGAACTGCAATGGTCTTGTATTTATTCATTATTTATTTATTTATCACTTTATGCACAATGAGTACAAGACTTAATGCTAAAAGTATTCTCTGACAGTCTAGGTTTTCATGTTGTAGAAATGAGTGAGAAGAGTAGTTACATGAAAAGTATACGAGAGTTAGGAATAGAATAAATGATTACATGGTACATATAAGAAAACACACACTTAAGAATGACTGTTCCTGTTTTAGTTTTAAGTTTTGGTCTAGTCCGTTCTGGTTATTGGTCAATATTTAACCGATCCATGTATGCGGGAGCGCTGATAATCCTGCTTATATCCTGCCTTTCAGTTTATAGAGAACCTGGGAGTCAATTTAAACGTTTGTGCGTCTTCCTCATATAATAAAAATCAAATATCAGTGCCACCTAACTAAGACTTACCTAACTAAGGAGTAATTACTAATCCTGTATTCAGCAATGAAAGTTTTCGTGCCAATTCCATCCTATGATACACACCTTGCAAACGCAACAGTACTTTTATTTCGATAGTAAGAGTTTAAAAATAATTATTTTGTGTTTGTGTCTGTATTTTTTGATAGACATGGTAACAGATGATCTAAAAAAAACTTCGCATTTCAAGTTTTAATTTAAAAAAAACCCGATAATAAATAAACGATATTTAACCAAAGTTAAGGACCTAATAAAGCAATTTTTGATGAAAATATAAGTATCAAATATAAGAGATATTAAATAAACCTTATTTAACAATTTGTTAGGAGCTCAAAATTGATAAAATTACTGAGGTATAAAATGTTTAAAGGTCGATTTTCCTTGTAGGTATACTTATAAGAATACGTAGCCAGTCTTTTGAAGAGATATTACGACTTCTCCGTGAAGCTTACTTTTATAGTGATTTATTTTACTAACCAACTTTAAAACGGGAGAAGCTCTCTATTTAAATGAATATTGCTGTTTTCCCCTGAATTTTTTACACAATTTCTTTGCTGTTTAGGAACTGTTTCCAATGAAAAAAAAGTAAATTAAATTGGCTATACTCAGGGTTGATCCCATTCAAATTTGAAAATATTGTACCTTCTCTTTAATTGATGGAGACCATAATTTATTACAATTTGTTTCGAGTTAAGCGAACTGTAGACAGTATTTAAGTTAGTTTATTTGTTACAGCTACTTCGTTGGTGACATATGCTGGTGAGCGGTACGACTTCGTTTTGGAGGCGAATAATGAAATTGACAACTACTGGATTAGGTACCGTGGACTTATGGATTGCGATGAAGTGTAAGTTATCCACAAGCATATTTTAATTTATATTTTCAAAGTCAATTTTTAAGTGTAATTTGAAATTACTTCAAATTTTGACGTAACCGTGCAAGGGGTACTATTTTTAAAATACTCTTAAAGTGTTAAAACCTAAAATATTGATGTCACCCCCCTGGAAGAGGCTAATTTTTTAAATACTTCTAAACTGTTTTCACTCTAAATTTTGCCGTAATCGTGCAATCAGTCCTATTATTTAAATACTAGTTTTTTATGGTGTTTGACAGAAGGAAAGCTTCAAAAAGACACCTGTCAAGTTGTTGTAGATCGGTAGTATGGGATTTTTACCCACTAAAAACCTCTCTCTCTTGGACCTAGAAACGCGGGACCGCGCTAGCATTACTTCGCGGTCGTAAGCTGTTGGCTGCTGCTATTCCTCCGTGTTCCTTTCTTCTTCCTTAAATACTAGTATTGGCAGTCTCGTATCTAATACTAGTGAGTTAGAGGGCTGACTCTACAAGCACGTGACCTTGACCCACTCGAGCTATTACTTTTAATGAACTTATCCCGATCGATGGCAATAAGCTTCTCTCCTTTTTTACATTACCTACATTTTTTGACACACTAAAACTATCCATACAATCGTCTATCTAAGAGTTGAGATTTATCCATCCAAAGGTTGCCTAAAAGAAAAAAACTATAAACTATTATATTATAAACTATTTATGGAATTGGTATTTAATGTACTTACTTGTATGTATGATGTACTCAACTGGTACAATAGAGTTTATTCTATTCTATTCCCTTTTACTTAGTTACCCCTTACTAGTGGAACCAAAAATTTTGTTGGTAAAATGTGGGCGTTAGATGCTTCTGCTTATCCCTTCGAGGCTATGTGCTTTAAAGTGTGTATCTAATATAATTACAAAAAGTTAGTGTTTATATCAACAGCCTGTAATAATCCATTGCTGGACATAGGTCTCTCCTTTTGGTCTACTATACCACGCTGGCCAGACGGGTTGGTTTAGGGTTTGTTTCAAGTTTTCCTTCTTTTTGAAGTGCTGTTGGCCTGTGCAGTTTGTTCCCTTAGTCGGCTCTTACGACACCCACGGGATGAATAGGGGTGGTGACATTCCGTATTCTTAATCCGTCACCACACGGACAGTTAGTGTAATTGAATGTAATGTGTGTAGTATGCATTTACGAGTAATAATAGAATTTGCACTACTCAACGTAATTGAAATGTCCTGCTATTCAAGGAAATACCACAAAACTAATTTTTTTCTAAATTCTTTCACAAATGGAAAGCTACATTATCAGCGATTAAACATAAGCTCTTTTTACCACGATAACCGAAATAGAAGCGGGCAAAGGTTGTATTAAATACTCAAGATTTTGTCCACAGGTTCACTAAAGCAAAACAAGTGGGTATATTGCATTATGAGGGTGCAATGGATTTGGAGCCTCCTGGAGATCCGACGTGGCATGAATTACACAACGAAGGATTGGTATGTATATAAATAACTGGTTTTTAGTATAGCTACACTATTACCTATACTATTGTACATTCTTAACAACATATAGTAGTATACTTACTTTTTATATTATTTTATCTACATGGTAATAATATAACTTTCCAATGTAAACAAAATCTACAATTCGTTTTTTGACAGGGCACTCGTGTTTCCTAAATGTTTTTATCTCTTTACTTGAAACTAGTTTTATGTATCTAGGAATTATTATTCTGCACTATCAAAAAGCTATAGAGATTTTAAATATATTCAAAAAGTTACTTGTTTAACATTGTTTATGGGTCGAAAACTTATTTTTTCTTTATGTCTATTTGATTGTTTAGGCACGGCAAACTATTTTTATAGGACCTTCCAACTATTGCGGCGGTTTTACTATGTTTTATGTTGAGTAGGGGGTTTAGAGTATGTTGTGAGTTTCATTAATCCAAGGACACGTTTTGATCATATAACAAATTTATTCCAACTTTGCTGTAAAAAATAACCCGTCCCAAACGAAACAGTCAGATCTAAACATCTAAAATATTTATATTGTTAACAGTGTCTATAAAAGTACCTTCATTCAGCAAACGTAATGGTCCTAGCATGCAAAATATTTAAATAAAATATTCTAGAAAGTATCATCATTTCATTGAATATTCAGTGAAGGACTTACTATCGGCGTAGGTGACATTGTGATCCTATAAAAGCGTATTGGCTTTCGTATTTGCCCATGTTGTCGATCGCGCCCTTGTGGCTCATAAAAATAGTATGGTGTGGTGACGCCAGCTTTATCATGATATGGCAGTTTCCTTACGCTTATCAGAGACACGCATAATAAAGTTGTATTTATGATGGCGTAAGCCTGAACGAACGAGAAGGTTATACTGATAATGTAAGGTTTTATAAGAAGTGTTTGGAAATCTAGGAACTTGGGAGTGAGGATAAAATTACGTCTTATCATTTTTTTTTACCTTCTGTTTTCTCCTGACGAAGTAATAATAATAATATCATAATACATGATGGCTTAGTGGTTTAAGCGATCGCCACGCCGCTTTCTACTATGCTGAGTGATGTGGGTTCGACCCCACATGGGACGACACTTTGTGTGATTCACAAATTTCTGTTCTGAGTCTGGATGTTCTTTGTGTCCATTTAATGTATGTTTGTAAGTTCCTCGCGACACAGGATATACTCTTAATGCTGGAGTTATCTAAATAAAAAATAAAAATAAAATATATATCATACACAACGCAATCTAGTTTCAAACTAAAGAGAGCTTGTACTCTTAAAGCTAAATTGACTGATATAATAATATACTTTGTTTGTAAATACATACATATTATACATAGAACACCCAAACTCCGAAATAAATATTTGCTGATCATACAAACTGCGCCACCGAGGCAGTCAAAAAAGTAATCTTATAATTCAAATACTCAAATATGACTTTATACTAAGATATCCATGCTAATACCGGTTTAAAGGTCACCGTTGTCTCCATTGTGTGTTAGAGTATTTTAAATCAGAGGCCCAGGTGTGAGTTTATTTCACATCCACTCGATCGTCACCAATCTTCACCAATTGCGACGTCGAACACGCTAGCTGTCGACAGCGAGTCGATGTGAAATAAGCTTGCACTAGCGGCTCTGTTTGAAATACGACGTCGAGTTTATTTTCACGGAGCCATAAAACAGAAAAGCAAGTTAACTATTCATTTGTTTTTAAAGTGTACAAAACAAAACACGCAACAAACAACTTTAAAACACCGTAGAACCCAATTTATGTAAAAAAAAACTGCCCTTATAGTTTGTTTGGATGTGTTAAAAATGACACCTAGCGAATATACCTAATTAATTTAAAAACATTTTTTAATGTGCCTTGTATTTGATTTTGCCGTTTTCAAAATAACATTCATAACTTAAAAAAGTTATTATTGAAATCCTCTACCAAAAGACAATTCCTAAGTTTTTTTCCTCTCTAAAAACTTGACCCCATACTTCACACTGAGAGCGTCAAACGTATATGTGATTATATTTTAACATGCTTATCGATTCGAAACATTTTTTTAGTTAAGTAACTAGCTTTTTTAATCAACGTTAAAGATCTAAAGTCACGAATACCGAAATTGCCAGTATATAATTCGGTTGGACCTTTCTCCAACATTAATTACTTAACCCCTTTCAAGGGCGTATTTTTTACTTTGTTCGAGTTTGCAAAGAACTAGTGCCAGCTGATTCAGCCGACTAAGTTCATAATTTAGTGCGCCAACTTGTCACATTACCCTTGGACTTTGTGCAGTAATAGAGTAGGGGCTCTGAGTATCAGAGGTGATACATCTTTGGATCTTCAAAATGAAGTGAACATTAAACTCAATTTTCTTCGTAATATTGCTTTCTGATGTTATTAAGTTACAGAAAAATTGAAGAAAGAACATTTCTACGAAATCAATTGTTAACAAGATAACTTTATAAATCTAATAATATGCTTTCATTTCTGTTATGAGTTTTAAAGCTATTCTTTGAGCAATTTGATGCAGAATTGCACTTAATATTAGTCACTGATACGTTAAACTCCTGAATTTATTAAACAGCCTGCAATATAGCAGGTAAGACCAATTAAAACAGAATATGGCCATAAAAAATTTCGTAACAATGAAAACATAAATAAATTGTCTACATGTAAATGTAACATACATAAACGAAAACATTATTAATGAGGTTTTGAAATAAATTTAGTTGGTATTTAGATGATAATATCAAATTAAATAAACGGATAAACGACAGAACATGGTACTGGTGACAATTATCATTATCATTCGTGATTGATTCGTCAACCAAACAATAGTGCTTTGCATTAGACGGCGCTTAATATAACGCTTAAATTAGTTTAGAAGTAAACTTATTGTCTGGAATTTGAATAAAATTGGACCTTGTCCCTTAGGAGAAATAATTGAGTTTAGCACTGCGTATGTCTTACTCGTTATTGTTATCACCGCTGAAATTCTTTAATTTACGGTTCACCGAAAAACGGAAATTAAGAGAACTTTCTTTAATTTCCGATTCTTTGACAGTACTTTCTCAATTAATCTTATTTGAATATATTTCTTTGTGGTATATGTGTGTTTGTCTCAATAAAACCATCTATTGGTCTTCGGTTCCACGAAACCAAAGCATGCTCTGAAAACTATTTATAGAGATATAAGTGAAACTAACAGATTTACTTATCGGATGCGCATCTGAATAGAAATCTATCGGTTGTAATTGGATTAATCCTTGGAACCTCTTGCGCATTTCAAAGGTTCGAGATATTTTCCGAAATTGGGGTCTGAAATTGAGCCCATTAAGAAATCGCTTTAGTGTTGGTATGACTGAATCAATAAATTATTTTATTTATGCATTAGCTAAGTAGTACATATTTATTCGGATAAATTAAGCATCAGTATTATATTCTTTGAAGAGCTATGCTTTGGCGAGTATGTGCCGGCTCGACCCGAGTGATACTACGGCCTCACAAGAAACTGGTGTTAAGCATTTTTTCGGTGAGTTTGTGAGTTTTCACCGAGTGCGTAAGGTTATCGGAGAAACCAAACCACTTGTGTCTCTTGAGCTGTTTAAGAGTAGTGGTAGTCGCTTACCATGAGCTGACCAGTCTGCTTGTTTGCCCTCTATACCATAAAGAGATCTAAAGTAATTTCTCTGCGTATATATCAACCAATGAGGAAAATCACCTTCGGCCGCATAGTGATGCGCACGCTATGCGGCAACATAATTTATAATTTCATTAACTCAAGATAATTGTGTACAACAGTCTGAGACCCAATCTCTCGAACTAGATGAAACACCTGTATCTCAAGAGATAGTGACCTTCTTAGCATTACATTTGAGAATAAGTGATAATAACTAGTATAAAAATTAATTGCAAATGGTATAACGTTTTTTTTAAATGCATTACAACATCATCTTCTTTTATCTTTTCTTTTAAAAAGAATCAATTCCGTATTAGGAATATACATCCAGTGACACGGGGACTTTACAAACATACATGAAACGAACACAACACCGCAATTAGTACAGCAATTTGTGGATGACACAAAGTGGTGTTCCATGTGGGGATCGAAGTGAGCGACCGCTTAAACCATTACATCATCCGTGCAGCATCACGATGACAATGATGTTCTAATGCATTTGCTATACTGCACACGCTATGTGGCAAAATTCATTAGAACTTGGTTTAGTTAAATTAACACCATGTTGTATATTAATGATATTTAATGTAGTATTACCAATACTAATCCAGCTAATCTTCTGTTATAAGCAGTGCAGAGTTATTATTTCTATTTATAGATCCTTTCTTTGGTCAAGGTACAAGGCTTGCGTTTTCATATCTGTTTTTGTGAACAGACTGATATATTTATTTATTTATTTAATACTTAGGTTCTAGGGCTATAATTCAGATTACACCATAACAATGATATATATTAATGCATGTTAATATTAAAGTTAACGTAACAAGTGAAGATTACATAACACAAATGACTTTCTGTAAGATGGATTAAATTTACAATAAATGATTACTTGATCAAAAACTTTTGTCGTGTGGTATCTATTATTTTAACCAAAATTGTATTAATAAGTGATTAATAAACTTCAACCATGCTATAGTAATAATAACCAAATAAAAAAGTATATTTTAAGGTAAAAAAATCAGTATGCCATGTGGGTAGTATGTGCAACGAGGAATGAAAGAGCATTTGAATATATGTATGATATTAATCATAAATATGCTATCAATTTTGATTCCTTCGTTTGATATACGATAGAGCATAATAATATCATCAATCATTTACCGTTGTAATACAGTTATATAGTGAGCTAAGGCTTCGAGCACACAAACGGTACTGCAAAAAGCAAAAGCACGGGATGAATAGGGGTGATGACACTCCGTATTCTTAATCCGTCACTACACGGACAATTTGGATCGTATAGGGTAAAATTAAAAAATTGAAAGCAGAATTTGGGAGCTCGATTAAAATTAATGATTTATGATTCAGCTGGAGCCTTCTGCATGAACTAACATTGCCACCCGTTAGCAGGCTATGGTTAAAGTACCGCGGTAAATGTCCAACAACACGAGAATTACATATTATTGTGCATTCATAGCTTTAACTCACTTGAATAAGTTTTTTTAGTAAAGCGTTTAATAAATCCATGACAAAATAATTGGGAATGTTCTATAACAGTTATTAGTAACAATCAACAAGAAGGCTTTTTAAGTAATAAATGTGCATAACTATGTGCAAACTATCACAAAATTACGACTTTTGTTTTTAAAATATCTTCTGTTATTATTATTCCATAATATTTTAAATATTTTGTTATTTGTCTTTTTTATTTTTTTTCCTTATGTGTTATGGCACGGATATTAAAAGAATGTCAACTAACTCAGATTTCTTAGAATCATTGCAATTTAATGTAGTTTTCATAAAAAACCTGTCATCAACTTTACTTTTTTATTTTTTTCCATCTGTACAAAGATATCATTTTCATCTTTTGCTAGATTTTGCTGTAATTTGCTTTATACATTCAAGTAAAAATCCGAGAACAGATAGTATCGAAAAGAATAAGCTCTTAATTTTGATAATAGACAAAAGGAAGTATCTGATCTACTTCAATGTTTGGTTTAATGGCCCAAAAAACTATAAGATAAGCCCTTATCGGTTTAACGTTGGTACTAGGCAGGTCGCAAAATCAAATAGCTTGCAGATGCGGTAAAATTATCCCTTCGGTGTAACAGCGCCGTAGTGAGCGGCTGGCCGAATGCCAGACACTATCAGCAGCGAAGGTTTTGCATACGAAGATTAGAATAATGTAGTGGTTCTAGTAAAATATTCCGGTATGCCAGACAACGAGAGTTACCTCAGTTCTGAATTGATATCCAGAGGATATTTGAAATGCGAATACTGTTTTTTTTTTAATTTAGACATGAAAGGTCAATGTGTGACGTAGGCTACTTAAGTTAACAGTGTATTGAAATGGGTAAAAGTGATGGATTCAAAGATTCAAAGTTCAAAACTCATTTCAAGATAATGTATACAAATATCCCAAGTCTTATTGTTTTAATATAAGATATTGTTCAGTAGGTACATTATAAAATAATAAATAAGTATCTCATTCCAAAAAGTTTAGTTTGACGTTTAAGTTTTAGTATATATTTGATGCCATTGAAAGAAGGTCATAAGTCATTAATAATTTTTATTGATTCTTAGAGGCAAAATTTACCTTATGTCATAGACATACATTCACGAACATTTATAAAATGATAAAATAAATAAATAAAACGTTAATTAAGAGTATTTTACTAGTTTTTTGAATTAACAACGCTTTTGGAAGTTACATTTTGTGAACAAAAGAGAATAATTCATTTATTTTTAGACTCAGTCTGCACATTCCCAGTTTTAATTTACTTGAACAATTTCTCATCAAAAGTTCTTTAAAACACTTTCACTTTGCGTCCAAAAAAAAAAACTTCCCGATTCTCAATTTAAAAGAAAAAATCTTCAAGAGAGAATCAAGAGCTAATTGAATTACTCAATCAACTGACGAAATCTTATTTACAGCAATTGAACGCGCTCAATAAAGGAGAAGAAGAGGATGAAACTATAAGTGTGGCTGAGATGAGGTCCATAGAAGGTTACGATGACAGCTTGAAAGAGGTGGCTGATTACCAGTTCTATGTTGCTTACGACTTTTATGCTAAGAATAATTCTCACTTCCATAGGGCACCCTACTACGGATATAACCAAGGTGAGTCCTTAACAACCGTTAATTTTTAATAATAAACACTAGGGATCGGCTGGAGGTCGACTTTCGACTGGTTTGATTAATCATATTTTTTATTGACTAGTGTAATATGAGCTAAAATTGTGTAGACTTCTGTAATATAACAAAGCTAAATATATACTGAACCTTTACACTTATGTAACCTTTTTCTTTAACACAATTTTTCAATTCTACTAAACTACATTTAGTATTTTAAATATGATAAACTGGTGCTAATTCTTTTGCTCGAAAACTCTCTAAACTAAACTAAAAAGCACAAAAAATAGTTTAATTCTGTCAAGTACTACGTTTTCAGAATACGAAACGTTGTTTAACATGACTAAATTAGTGTGGTTAAAAGAGTTTTCGAACAACAGAATTTACTCACGTATTAATAAATACCGTCCCGTGTATCCGTATGATGTCCTACCTAAAAAATATATCTATTTTCTTCTAAAACTAAATGTCGTATGTCATTCAGTTTTAGTCGCAATTAATTTAATCATAAGTAATAACATATCTTGAGTCTGTTTAATTAACCTCGTGAACGCGTTTGGATAAATAAAACAGAAAAACCCTTCTTTGTTAGAATGAAGGTTATGAGTACTGAAATATTTAATAATCACTCTACCATTTGATCTAATTGTTATTTATTAATAAAAAAGAAAACAATTTAATAAAACTAATATTTTAATAGAGGAATATTTTACTTTAAAATAAATAGAATACCTTCATTATAGCAAATCTCTACTTAAGGAGATTAAGTTCATAAGTCGATGATGTTTTAAGAGACGTTTTTAATAGTTATATTGTGAACAAAAAGTATTTGTTAGTAGAAATTTGACTTTAAAATATCTTAAATGCTGAGTTAGTTAAATTGATGAATTATCATAGGAGCTGATAAGCATCGCAGTTTGAAACAATACGTATAGTTTTTGAGCCACAAAATAATGTCTGAAATGTTTTCCAAACTTACGTTTGGTCCACTTGTTATTTAAATTTTTGTAAATGTATACAGTATTTTTATTTATTTTTATTTTTCGCAGTTCCTGTTAAACAAAACCGTCTCTATACTCCTCAATTGAACCACATCAGTATGAAGCTTCCATCGAGTCCTCTTCTTACTGCAAGACCCACTTCAGACCACTTCTGTAATTCGTCAAGTATCGATAAATCCTGTGAAGATGATTACTGCGAATGTTCTCACGTGCTTTCCGTTAAACTCAATTCTGTTGTCGAAATAGTTATCGTCGATGAAGGAGTAACATTTGACGCTAACCATCCTTTCCACCTTCATGGCCATAGTTTTAGGGTAGTCGGACTTCGGAGACTTGCTAAACATATTACAGTTGATGAGATAAAAGCCTATGATGAAGCTGGTCTTCTGAAAAGAAATTTGAAAAATGCTCCTATCAAAGATACAGTCACCGTCCCAGATGGAGGTTATACTGTTATTAGATTCAAAGCAGACAATCCTGGCTATTGGCTTTTCCATTGCCATATAGAATTTCACGTTGAAATTGGAATGGCATTAGTAATCAAGGTCGGAGATCATAAAGAGATGACCCCAGTGCCAAGGGATTTCCCTTCGTGTGGCAGTTATTTGCCAGATAATATGTTAGAGCAAGCGACAACAGCGAAGCCACACCAAGCAGGTGACGTAAACGATTATCTATCCATATCTCATTGGTGGCCTGTCGTTGTTATTAATACTAATTCTACTTCATCAAGTACTACTTCCGCTACTTCCAGTGTTGCAGTGTTACTCTGTTTATGGTTATTTGTTAAAAATACTTTGTCGTAGTCTAAAAATTTATATTTAATTTAAGCATTTTTGAATTTTTTTAGATCAGTATTTTGCAAGCTTGCAATCGGGATATGTACTTACTTGATTTTTTGACTATCTACGAATGTTATATGTAATATTTATCTGACTTCATGCCATTGCAGTTCCAAAATGTTTGACATGCTGTTTAATATTCTGTTATAAATGCAGTAGCCAATGTAACTAAAATATAAACACTTAAGTCTATGGTATTGTATGTAACATTATTATGAACAATAAACATTAAAAATAAAATCGATTAAAATAATGTTGTTTCAAATATTAAGTGATTAAAACAATTAATTAAATCTGCGTTTGAATGTGTTTTTGACTTTACTGCTCTTTTTTCTTGTATTGTCTTTAAATTGACCGATTGTATAATATATCCCATGCCATTAATAGTTGTCTTGAATTGTATTATGACTATCTACAACATTATTTTTTGTACCTAAAGTGTAATCTCATTTACTTACAAGACACTGTTGACGTTCACTGCAGGCGCCACTATATTAACTTATAACAGCGGATCTTTTACTTCACTACTTATCATTCTGAATACGACTTTGTTAGTGAAGCTTAAAATACATTAACGAATATAAATTAAATACTGAAAATGCCGAATACGATTAAAAAAGGAATTGATGTTCTTTGAACGGCTGTGAAATATTTCTGGAATTATAGCTAAATGCAATCTCAACTACATCATTTTCGTAAAAAAACACAAAAAAATAAATTGGACACTCCGCTTACGACATAAAGCACTAATGCACATGTAAAACATATAACACCCATCCGTTAACTTCTGGGGAGTCTTTGAAATCGTTCATATTATTATTAATTAGAACGACTCGGATCGTCGATAGCCCAAACATCTCCGATCGACTCATTCCCTTGGGTTACGTAGAGATGTGGCTTCACTCTGCATTCTCTATCGCATTTATCATGGAGAGTGCTCCGAGGAATTGTTGGGACTAATACCAGCCGCAACTCTCACACACACAGCAAAATTTTCATCCTCATTACCTGGATAGTTGGCGCTCCACTACTGTGCGCTTTTCGCGACAATTTTTGTCCCGCACAACCAATCTGTGGAACGGGTTATCATCTGCGGTATTTCCGGACCGATACGACCTTCAAACTTTCAAGAAAAGAGCGTACTCTTTCATAAAAAGCCGGCAACGCGTTTGTGACTCCTGAGTTACAGACGTTCATGGGCGGCGATGGTCACTTTCCATCAGGTGATCCGTCTGCTCTCTCACATAAAAAAACTAATAACATTTTTGACTTTTAGGTATATTAAAAATAATGTTGTATACTGATTCAAACTAAGAAATATATTACGAACAAAAGTTTGTAGCACTGTTCTAGAAAATACTTGCCATTGAATTGTTGAAAAATTTGTTCCTTACAAAATATTTTATCTGTATGTGTTATTCTTTATTTTAAGCTGGATATTGCATATTGATTAGTACTTACTTTCATCATTAGTATTGTCGGCTTCGTCGCAAATATAATTACTTATAACCGGAGATTATAATTTAAGTCTGTGATTGGTTCTAAACGATATGACTAAAAAGTGTTGAACATTTATAAAATGTTTGAGTTACATACGTTGTTGACATGTGATATTATTTAATTTAATTATGTAATTTAATTCTAAGTATTTTGTAAACCAAGAATGAGTACACTTACCAACTGTATATTGTTGTTTTATTTACTGACTCGCTTTTGCCCACGGCTCTTCCCCTGTATGTCGGTTATCGCGGTAAAAAAAATACCCGTATTATTTATATTTACCCGTATTATTCAAAATCCCTTCGGAGTTCCTGCTCCTCGGGAACTCAGGAGCCAGGAGTATGTGGAGATTCCACAAAAAATCAGTGTTAAACATTGTCGTCTCACAGCTTCTTGTCAGATATATAAAAGGCGACATTACTCACTACTGCATTCCAAGGATGGGGTTGAAACTAAGGTGTAACCGCTTACTTTCAGGTGACCCATCTGTTCTTTTGCCCTCTAAAAACAGTCTATTACAGTTGATCATTATATAAACACACTGTAGTCAGTGATAAAAGTTTTTCATGTACAGAGTGTTCAATTAATTTTCGATTCTGAATATTCGAGAACATGAAATCTCATTGCTCTAAAGTGCTTTACATCCCTAAAATGAGCTGACAATTAATCACACCTTACTAGTGCCACTCCTACAATTGTTTTAATACAAGTAAATTAATAAACAAGCAAATAGTTTGACTGTGATGAAGGACTGTGGAATTCAATGACCCTACTCAACTCTAAGTGAGCCTAATTTGATGAGCGGGGGAAGGTATAGTGTGTATAAGGCTCACTTGATGCTGTCCATCAGTAATTTTACTTTAATATTTTAGTGTTGTACATACAGAAATTTAAACTTTAAGTTTTATACAATTTAAGTTTCTTTTTAAGTAATTCTTTAGAGATGTTAAATAATAATTATAATTTCAATTCTCACATTAGCTTACACATATCTTAAGTATAGCACATTATGTACACAGCTATACCAGAGCTTAAGTTGTAATGGTCACAAATATCGGTCACTTCCAACGGACACCTAAATTAGGTACTTCACCTATACCTTAGGAGACGTGTTATAGGATCAGGATAGCAATTTCTTATCTACTTAATATGATACGAGTATAATTACTCACATTTGTAGTTATGCAACAAACAATGAAGTACAATCTAGTTGAAGAAGGAATTATTGATTTTTAATAATAATAATAACCTCACACATCACATACATGACCGTCTAATCCCCAACTAGGCAGAGCTGTACAGTGGTAACCAGACAGCTGATAAACACACCTATATATTTACTCAGACTGAACAAGTGATCGTGCTTATAACACAATATTTGTTCTAGGTGGGAATTGAACCCACGACCTCTGGCTAGCAGTCACGATCACTAACCACTAGATTAACAGGCCCGTCAAATTGTTTTGTCAGGATTGTTCGTATGCCGGAGTAAACAAATAAACTGAACAGGTATTAAAATAGGAGATATGCCAAAACCGTGGCTGTATCTAAATAATTAAATATATGCGAACCAATGAACGGTGATTTAGTATTTAATACGTAATTAGTGGTGAGCCGCGCGATAAACTACGGATGAACACGAACCGAAAGATTAGTAGGGCGCTCTGTGTATTATAAATCTAAAATGGTAGAAAAGGTTTAATCTGTGGCCAAATTCAAACCCTCTGTGTCATTTAATACCCTGAAGCGCGTTAATTTGTTTAATTCTGTTCTAAGTTTAAATAATATTAAAGTCATGTTTTAACTAATACAATATTTGGCAGTATAATAATGGACATAAAGTGTAATAATGTTGCATTTATTAAAAAAATATGGAAATATCGGTATAAATCAGAAATTATTTATTTACATTATGCAGACGCCATATTAAACGAATTTTATCTACCGCATTTTCGGTTGAACTAACATATATTTGCTATTACAGTTTATTTAAAAATCGATTTAAAGAGTAATGGATTGATAACAGGCACATGATATAAGAACTTTAGTAATTTTGCACTACTCTTTATATTTTCAACAAATTGAACCAAGAATCTCTTCAACTAAACGAGTTTTCTAATTTAGAAAATAGCTATTCTGCAACATCAAGGAGAACTTCGGATAAGCGAAAGCTTCGAGCTGATTATATCTAGAAGTCTAAAAAAAAGTCGCAGTAAAAAGTGCAATTTTAAATTAAAAAGACGTATGTTTTAAATTTAGAACCTAATCACAAATACATTCATTGATTAAAGCTTTAATTTAGGATTACATTAGAGTTATATTCAAAGTTCAATGTGTGTAATACATCATTTAAGGTGGATCAGTATTCCGAATCCATAATTATATTTTAAGAAAGACATTATAAATAAATATAAATATAGTATTGTGAATCTTATTTAGAATTATCAAGATAAAATACAGGTTTAATTTATGGTTGAAATATATTATTTAGAGATCCCACTGAAAATAATAGGTGCGTTAAACATTAACGAACGCTTTTAAACGAAAATTTAACTATTAATAAAGAGTAATTTATGTATCTTGATCATTTTCGTGTTGGGAAATACTGTTCTTCTACTGAATCTGGATATTTATCACAAACCACTTAGGTTCTAACTAATTTCATAAAGTTTAACTTCCTTTTAACACTTTCAATGACCTTACGAGATTTAAAATCTTCTGTTTGATTTGAAAATAAATTCCATAGATAATAAAGTATACTTTTATGAAGTGAGTATACAACATTTTAATTGTTTATGAAATAATTCGCAAATAAGTATTTATCGATTTCTCAATACAGATAAATACAATTTAAATTATCCACGTGGTAAGGTTTAATAAATTAAAAGTACAAAAATATTTTCTAGAAATAAATTGTTTCACTAATGTTTAAGATTTTTTCAATCATTATCTCACATACATGTCACTACCTCACCTCATTTTCATTTAATAAATGTTGACATTTCGGTGTTCATAATTATAGAATAATGAGAAATTTCTAGAACATAATAATTTGAAAAATGTTTTCCAGGTATCTAAAGGGGCTTTATTAATCCCAATAGAGGGTATTTACCTTTTCAATTTGAGATAAAAACTAAGAAAGTGCGTGAAAAGATCAGTGAAGAATCTCAGGGGAACTTAGACAATTAAGATAACAGGGAAGGGTCTAAATCAAGTCACAGAAAGAAAGGTTGGACCAATAAATATACTAGAAAGATGGGTGGTCGCTCTTTTGGGGTGGATGAGGAGAAAAATAGCCTATGTTGCCTGTTATCTCCGATCTTTGCTTGCGTATATTACAAGCGAGAGCGTATGTTACACCGCTGCGTAAGATATCACAATGCTTCCCACTATTTTTTTAATCTGTGGTAGTACAATTAAATAAACTACTTTGCAGCAAAAAGCAAATTACAAGGTTTTTTTTT